GTAGCATGCCAAACAGGTTAGTGTCGACTGACAGAGTATTGGTGTCTTTAAAGTAATGTCTTCCTTTTGAAGGTAAGAACTGGATACTTGGCAATAGGCTGATGTTTCACAGAGACCTAGTGAAGAGCACTGGGCTAATGAGTTGATGATGGCCTGCTTTGCTAGGTAGATGAATGTTGTTTGAACTAACTGCAGCCTTTTCTAAGGCTGTTCTGTACTTTAGTCTACAGAATTGTCATAATAAAGACATGAGGTTATAAACATGTAGATCACTGTGACTAGGTCCAAACCTGATGGGAAGGGTGCAGACTTCTTGCCAGTTTGTGCACATTCTTGTGTGCACTTTGTAGCCATGACTGTGTGAGTAGGCAGAAACATGGTGGACTTATTCGCTGGTTGTAAAATTAAAAGATGAAGATAATGGTGATAGGTAGCCCAGCTTGTTTGGCCATTGCAAATGAGTTGATATGGCAGCACATGCAGCTTGTGAGACACATGAGTCTGGAATCAGTGCAGCATACAAGAAGTGATTGAGAGGATGTAAAGAGGAAACAACAAGCTGTGATGTCCATTTTATCACAGTACAATAGTACTTTATACTCTGTCATGGAAAGGGACATAAGAACATCTTTAGTAATGAGACAAGGCGAATGGTCCACTATTTAAGGCATTAACCTAATAATCTAGACCAGGGGTTGGTAACCTATAGCTCATGGCCTAGATCTGATTCTGGAGCCATTTTTGGCCTACAGCACTGGTGGGGTTCGGTGACATTTTGGTGGGAGTGTGGCAGGGAGAAAGGGTTGTTTCCCAGGCAGCTGAGCAGAAAGGGTGGTGGCAGTACTATGAAGGAGCGATGTGGCTCTGGCAATGGTGCAAGCTGGATTGGAAGCATCCTGTGGTTAGAGATAAGGTCCACAGTCCTCCGCCCTTCCAAGATATCACATCTACTTAAAGAACCTTGCGTGCCCACATCTTTAGACCAACATGACTACAACCAAAAGCCCTCCAATACAAAACATTACAGACCTCTGCTGTCTACATTTCCCTGCTCTATGCTTATACAATTCCTTGCTTCTCCCTGAAATTCCTGTGATCTTGTGGAAAGCACAGAAGCTCTGATCCTCAAAGATACATTGGTATCTAATTCTCATTGAAATCAGTGGGAGGGGCCAAAAATCTTTAAGTATCTAGAGAACGGTCAGTTTGTGCTTATCCATGCCTACCCTACCTCAGTGCCATGCCAAGGAAGTGCCACCATTGAGCACTTCCTGCCTACTTTTATTTGCTGCCCATGCATCAATTCCTCAAAATTAAGCAATGTTCCCTTAAAGCAATGAAGAACTTGGGCTAATAGCCTCTCTGTCTTGGGAGTAATTAAGAGGGGTGCTGGATAGTATAGTTATGACCTTACTTTTGTCAACCTTACACAGTGTTGTTGTCAAGATTAATTAAGGAGTGTGAGGTGCTCAGAAACTGGCAATGGAAGCCATATAGTGAAGAAAGATGTAATTTAAGATGATATAAGTTTATATTTTCTTTTTTGAAGAAGATTGTTTACCTTTTAAATGCTCTTGTGTCTTCGTGTTTGAGTGTCTTTTGCATTAGGACTTGTATTTTGGACGCTTCCATTTTAATTTCAAATACATGCATACATGAATAACTAACGCATCCATATTGTACCAAATGCCAAAATAGGAGTGCAGTGTAATGCCATTTAAAGCAGCAGAGCCTAGTAAACCAACCAGACCTTTCACCTTTTCTAATTGTACCACATTGTCAATTCATTATAGTCCTAAATTCTTTGATAACAAAAAGTGCACATTTTCAAAACATCTCTATTTGTGTGCCCTTTCTGCTTTAATTGGGTCTCATGGGGAAACATCTAGTCATGTAGATTAAAATGAAAAATCAGAGCAAGTATTAAGTAGTCACGTGTTTCAATTTCATGCCCAAAGACTAGAAGTATCTGAGAGAATGCAAAAAATAAGGAAACAAAGCTACCATCTGAATAAGCATAGTTGGAAGCACTTCCTTTAACCCCCTACCCTTACCTCAAAGGAGAATCCAGCAGTATGAGGTGCCTGCATCTCCACTCTGCCCATAGCCAGATGCCATATCTCAAGGCTCATTGCCTATTTAAGACCTCTTCTGGACCGTTTCCACCAGTGGGGTTCCTGCCAGGGTTTAAAGCCAGCATTCTTCTCCAAGCATTGGGCCAGTGAATAACAATGGTACTTCCACTTGGTTTCTAATAGGCTGTAAATGTCCTTTGGGATTCAGGTGGTTGTGATTTGCATTCCTCAGTTGCTGTGGGGTTAATCAAACCCATGGCTTATAAATATGGTCTGTTTCCCTGTGACAGTTTCCATTAGCAGAAAGGAGAGGTAAGAATCAGAGCTATGCAAAATGTTTACGTGTCAGGGGTAGACTGAAATAGCAACATAGTGGTTGCATCTGCACATTCATTAATGTGCCATAGTTACTGCACGTTAAGTTTAGTACCTGGATAACCAAGTACTAAATCACTGTTTAGAAACTGGCGCTACTGCTCAGTAGTGCCAGCACATGGGTTTTTACAGATGCTAACTGTGCAGTAGCTTAACACTTGTATTAGCACGAGTTTTGCCTGGCACAATATTGTGCAGTGTTATTAAGCTACTACACAGTTAGTGTCTCGTGTAGACACCCAGTGAGTAGAAGAGACTTTCACTTGAAATAAAGATACTGGAAAGCAAAGCAATTCTATTTCACAACCAAAATTCTGGGATAGCATTCACTGGACAATAAAAAGTGACCAAGTCACCTGTACATAGGTACAGGAACACCCAGGGACACAGCCCTAATTGTCTCTTGCTTACAGATGGCTCTAGCATCACTACTATTACAATTGGATGCACAATTCTTCTTCTGTGTTGCTTAGCGCAGAGTATAGAAGACACTTGCATTTAAAAATTACACTTATAATTAGGGCTTGGTTTAAATTGTGATTTTGTATTTTTCATGGAAATCATGAAATTAAGTGATTTTCATGAAAAATGTTTTTTGCAATGAAATATGCCATCATATGGCCACTTGCTGGGAAGTTCCCTGGTAAGTGGCCGTATCATAGCATTTTGTTGCAACAAGCTGGCTGCTGCAAGCCGGAGAAAGCATTCCTCAGCCATCAGCAAAAGCCTTAGCAGCTCGGGGGAGGGGAGTCACAAAAGGGACAGGGGGAAGAGAGCTGGGGGATGTATAGAGAAGGGGCCAGGTATTTGCTCTTCCAGGTGGGAAAACTGGGTCACAGGGGGTTGGGGCAAGGGAAGATAACACATGTGCACAGGAGCAAACCTGGTACCCAGCAGCAGGGCTTTCTGCTAAGGAAGCCAGGAGCTTCCAAGCCTCTTGTCTTCAATGAATAGGAGCAGCAGGAGTTGCCCAACCACGTGGAGAAATTGAGGATAGGAAGCCAGAACTCACGTGTGCCTATAAGAGCAGCCAGTCAAGGAAGCAGGATGCTTTTGGCATGATTATTCAAGCAGGTACATCATTGCCTGCCTGCTTCCTTGTTCCAGTCATGCTGCTCTCCGCCTTCAATAAGGAGATAGCAAGACAAGACAAGACCATCTCAGCCCAGGACCATGTAAAGCAGTACCCTACAGGAACCCTCCATGCTGATTGGCTGATGCTGAGCTCAGCATTGGACTTGCTGCTGATTGCCTGGGAGTCTGGCAAGGCAGCATTTTTGGAAAGGGAATTTCTTCCCTGCCTATCAGAAACAATGTGGGGTGGATGGCTGGTACTGTTCTTCCTGCCTCTTCCAGTGGAGAGGGGTGGGGGGTCCAGCCACAATCAGAGGCCTTGGGAGCAAGGCCTTCACTGCTGCAATTAAACCTGGCCCTAAACCTGCACCCTCAGCCAATGGGGGGGGCATGAAGGGAGGAGAAGGGCACGAAGGGCCCCCGCCACGCTAGTGTTCATGATATTAGAGAGCTG